CTCCCTTTCGTGATGATACAGGTGCTGTATCAGCAGGATGACTGCTGCAGAGGATCTGCAAATTTTGCAACAGTCTTCACAAGACAGAGAACCCGGGCGTACGTTATTTTGGAGTACTGTCTGACCCAGTTTAGGACTCTTCCTTTGGCAGCGTATTGTACTAAATTAAATTAACTGGGATGCTGGATCAAAGCCAAGTATTAAAGGCAGACTGTTGGCTGAGGGTTTGTGCAAGACACCTCGTTCCAGTTTGTCTTCCCAAAACGTACAACTGAGCCATTTTAATCTGTGGGGTCAGCTGGACTGCTTGGATCGTTTGTAAGATTTATGTAAATACGGTACAATTAGGCAAATACAAAATATTAAAGATCATCTCTCTTCCTCACTCTGTGCCTCATGTCTTGTTTATGCTGAAATATTTTCATGTTCATTTTCTTTGGGGAATGAAGTGCTGCCATCTGAGAACGGTTTATGTTGCCTCAATGATTAGCCAGAGAAGACAACAGTTCTGATTTAAGCCTGTAAGGCCAAGTGAGGAAGGACAGACAAATTTCACGGCCTTCTGCAACAGCGTTACAGCATTAACGGATACGGGAAGAGCAACTAACATCATCCACCTGGACTTGTGCAAAGCATTTGACACTGTCCCACACAACATCCTGGTCTCTAAACTGTAGAGGTGTGGATCTGGCAGATGGAGCACTCAGTGGATAAGGAACTGGCTGGATGGCCGCAGTCAAAGAGTTGTAGTGAATGGCTCGATATCCAAGTGACAATCAGTGACAAGTGGTGTTCCTCAGGTATAGGTACTGGGATCCGCTCCGTTTAACCATGGACAGTGGGACTGGGTGCACCTTCAGCAAATTTGCTGCTGACACCAAGCTGTGTGGCACAGTTGACATGCTGGAGGGAAGGGATGCCATCCAGAGGGACCTGGATGTGCTTGAGAGGTAGGGCGGTGCAAATCTCAAGTTCAAGTTCAACAAGGCCAAGTGCAAGGTTCTGCACGTGCATCTGCACGGGCAATCCCAGGCACAATTCCAAGCTGGGCGGAGAATGGATGGAGAACAGTCCTGAGGAGATGGACTTGGTGGTGTTGGCTGATGAGAAGCCCAATGTGAGCAGGCAATGTGCACTCACAGTCCACAAAGCCGACCACATCCTGGGATGCATCAAAGGCAGCGTGGCCAGCAGGTTGTAGGAGGTGATTTTGCCCCTCTGCTCTCGTGAGATCCCACCTAGAGTACTGTGTCCAGCTCTGAAGCACCCCAGGTCATGCAACAGTGCTCTATCGGGGACCCCAGCACCTGGCCAGCCCTTGCCATGGCGTGGGGGGAAGCTCACAGCAGGGATTGCAGAGAGGGAGCTTCACAGGTGGCTGAGTTCCTCAGGCCCTGTTTGCCTCTGCTGTCCACAGATGAGAAACAAAGGAGGTATTTCCTGTGTCCCTCTTCTTCCACTTTCTTTCACTGCTAGTGCTTTGCCCACAGCCACCTTGCCCTGGTGGATGAGTCATGAGTGAAGGTCGTTGCTCTTAAGCACTAGCCTATATGACTCTCAAGATTGGCAAATTGTAATTTATCCTTCTCTTCCTCTCCCCATACTGCAGAGTACAGCTCAAGGGCAGAGGAAAATCTGCCCACAAATCTCTAAGGTCTGTGAGGCAGACACAGCCAGGCCAAGACGTCAAGGTGAACATTTCTTCCTCTGCTGTGAATGGCAGCATCTCCTCCTCAACACAGGAACCTGTGTGAGAGGGAACGCCGAGTGACTTGGCTTCCAGATAGAATTAGCTGACCAGAAGCCACCCCTGCTTGAGTACATCAGATTTCATCTGCTTCCCTATTAAAACTTAGGTCCAGGTGCTTAGCAAAAAGGGATTTGTATAGTTAGTATCTTCCTGAATTCACTCATTCCTGCAACATAGATCTGAAAAATTCTTCTTTTGAAATATAGACTACTTCTGTTCTAGACATTCAGTCTTTAGACAAAAGGAGCAAGTACCTGATACACTGAGGAACGAGATACCGTCCTTAGGTGATCTGTTGGTCCTTCTTTCATTCTGGAATGCACTCAAGGTGTACATTTGGTAACAGCAGAGTTTCCAAGCTGTCCTGATTCAAGCTGATGTGATTCATAACGGAATGCTTTTGTCAACAGTGAGGTCAAACCCAAAGGAAGAGTGAAATGTCAGTGGCTAATCACTTAAGCTGAAGGACTGGCTTGACCAGACTGGATGCTTTAGAAGAACAAAGTAACCCAGAGCAGATGTGAATTAAGCTGAACTCGTGTACAAGTGCCCACAAGCAAGAGATCTGTGTAAACTGTACTTCTCCCTTTCGTGATGATACAGGTGCTGTATCAGCAGGATGACTGCTGCAGAGGATCTGCAAATTTTGCAACAATCTTCACAAGACAGAGAACCCGGGCGTACGTTATTTTGGAGTACTGTCTGACCCAGTTTAGGACTCTTCCTTTGGCAGCGTATTGTACTAAATTAAATTAACTGGGATGCTGGATCAAAGCCAAGTATTAAAGGCAGACTGTTGGCTGAGGGTTTGTGCAAGACACCTCGTTCCAGTTTGTCTTCCCAAAACGTACAACTGAGCCATTTTAATCTGTGGGGTCAGCTGGACTGCTTGGATCGTTTGTAAGATTTATGTAAATACGGTACAATTAGGCAAATACAAAATATTAAAGATCATCTCTCTTCCTCACTCTGTGCCTCATGTCTTGTTTATGCTGAAATATTTTCATGTTCATTTTCTTTGGGGAATGAAGTGCTGCCATCTGAGAATGGTTTATGTTGCCTCAATGATTAGCCAGAGAAGACAACAGTTCTGATTTAAGCCTGTAAGGCCAAGTGAGGCTTGCTAAGGAGAGCGGTCTGCAACCAATCAAGGGATGAAGGACCACCCCAGCGCAAAGCAATTCAACTCTGAAAGCCAGTAGCCTCTGAGAGCTGCTTCAAGTGCTAGGGTTAAATGTAAGAATACTGCAAGCTGTAAATAAAACATGGGCTGGGTGACCTGGGCTTTGGCTTCAGCCTGCATCGCTTTTTCCAGCTGCCTGGAAGGCAAATAATCTTTGATTCTTTTTCAAGTTTGAGGGGAAGGCAAGACTGCTGTTCTGTAGAAGCTAACCCCTTGCCTCGGCCACTCCTGGGCCGTGGACCTACATGTTCTCGGGCAAATCTCATTACAACCTTGACAGCTTTTCTAATAAGCTTGGAACTTACCTTAAACTGAAACACCTTATAAAGATTAAGCTGTATGAAGACCTCTACAACAGCATTACATAATGTTCAGACTCCAGTTGCCTTTTTCAGGGGTAAAAAAAAAAACAAACAGGGGTGAAAAAAACCCAAACAAAACCAAAAAAACAACCAAAACCAAAAAAAACCACAAAAGAATTGAGTACTAGAGTGAATTATTCTCTAAATACACAACAAGTGAATCTAGGCCTTTTTCTTTTGAAGTGAGTGGGACAAAAGATAGCTCAGGGTAGTCTGGGATTTGGAAAAAAGTTCTCGGTCTGTACCAAATTGTGGAGACTGTTTTCTTCAGGATCCTTTTCTGGACAGTGCAAAAAAAAAGTCCTATTTCAGGTCATTAAAAGTCTATCTCCCTGCTCCATGTCAACAGCAATGTTTCATGTATGGAAATACTATTGAGAAATTTTGTTATTCGGGTTCTTTTATTATTTAGCATTCAGACCAGTGAAAAGTTACAGTCGTGCTGTGAGTTTGAGTACGTTTTCTTACAATCTACAATGAAAAATGATGCATGCTACATAACCTCACTCCAAGAAAGAAGGGCACACACTGAAGCACAAACATCTTGTAGTAAGAATGCTGTATAGGCAGCAAAAAGCAGCAGCTGGTTGGCATTTGGTAACCACATAATTTGGATCAACAAATCCTATAGTGTGCTCTTTCCTTTGTTGCTAAACCCATAATTATCAGTGATGATTCTTTTTGAACTGCTTCAAAAGCTGCACTAATAATATCGTGGTTTTTTACAGAAAAAAAAAAAAGAAAAAAGATACACGCACCTAACATTTTCTAATAACAGAAGAATTAAGGGGGGCTTATTGTTTCATTGTTATTAAGTATTTTATAGGGACTAAACAAATTCCCTGTATGATACTATTAAAAATAGCCAAGCCACCCATAATTTAAGGTAACGTATTCTTTACTAGGTGTCAAAGCTGTTTAGGATTTCATATTTTGAAGCCCTTCTTTCCAACCAATCTAGCTTATTTAACCAAACAAGACTCAAGGTCACATCTCAAATGTTTTACATCTCAACAATGTTAGAAACGTTAAGATCAAAGAAAGATATCCTTAGATTAATTTAACCGTGACTCTGCTACATCTTACAAGTCTGGACAACAGAGCTTGTGAACAGACATAGTAAAGTACACTGCATATGTATTTGCAAAAGTGACACTGACGATACCTAGTAACCACTTTTCAGACAGCTCCAAAAAACTAAAAGATCCACTTTTATCTTAAGCTTTCCCTCAAAAAATTGTCTCAAATCTTAAGATTTCTACAGCAAAATCATAAATAGCAAAAATATCTTAGTCCTCAACTGCAGTCTGAGCTGCACTGTAAAGGAATGACTTACTGAGGAATAAACTTGTGCCTTTCCTAAATCAGATGAAAAGTCTACTAGCTGTGTAGGAGGGGAAGACTCTCACCAAAAGACTGTCCTCTTCTGTGTGCTCTGCAATTGCCTTCATTGTAGTTCATCCAAAGTCTTCTTAAGTTTTACATACACTGATGAATATTAAGCTTTTTAAGAGAGTTATAATTCAATCTATTAATATGCAAATAGTACTCTAAGCCTGCAGCACACTGACTTTAACTTGACAATGAACAAAAATAACCTCCTTTTTGAAATGCTAAGCACACCCCAATTCTTACAGGCATGCACGTTCTGCAAATGCTATGAAAAATCCTTTAAATATTTCTAACCAATAATAGGGAAGCAAAGTGATTGCAATTAATTCTTTATTATGTATTTTTATTAATCAGTACTGTTATTTGGGGCATGCATAATAACACTGCAACAATTATACCTATCACAGCATTACAACAGAACCTATCTGAAACCTTGAATTTGTGCATTTTGTGAACAGTGTTTGCTGCTGCTGCAGTCTTAATTTGAGATTCAAACCAGTTCTCCCTGCTAAGTCAGGCTGATAAAGCAATCCACCTACAAAAATGACCAGGCTAGATTTTAGCACAAACTGCAGTCTTAGCTGTAAGTTACATTACACCAGAGGATGTCACCAGTCAAGACACAATACCAAAATTTGTGCTGCAACTTGAATTATACCTGAAAGGGAAATAAAGTAATTAACCACCCAGCAATTACAGTAGGTAACACAGATGTAACTATTGTTTATAACCTTATTTGGTGTTATTACTGGAAAAAGGGGTAAGAACATCTTCTCTTCTTATGCAAGATCAGTCATGCTTTAATAGTAAACAGCATCATTTAAAAACAGAAACGCACTGGAATGCCAAAGCATAAAGACAGCTGATTGTCTGGTACAGGTGACTGATTTATGACAGTTCAAGAAGCTGCCATTCTTTGCTATCCATTCTGCCCATTTATTTGGGGTGAATGCCACAGTAACAGAACGGAGCGCGTGCTCAAGCTTCAGCTGTTCCATTTTCAGCTAAACACCAGACTTCCCACCAAAAGAGATAAGAGGGGATACCAGTGTGTGTCTCCCAGCACTGCTGCCAGCACGGGGTAGAGAAGGGATGAACCGAGTGAAGCAGCTCCCACTGTGGCAGCTCTCCCCACCAACTGGCTTCCCTGTGAGCACGGACGGAGACGCCGCCTTTCGGAAGGCACGCTAAGAAGTGACACAGAAGGTGTCAGAGGGAATGGCCTTTGCATTTTCAACCCCCTGTAAGGTGAAGGACAAAGTTTCACTCTTGCATGGGAACTGCACTGGTAGAAGTTTAGACCCACAGCTGCCAAACCCACATCTCATCCAGTCAAACGCGTGCGTCTCATCTAATGCGTAAGAGCATCGATGTACAAACGCCACATTACTGTTTTAGGAAAAGTGCCTGTTATCCTGAGCCATCATATAAGTCATTCATAACTCCTTCCTTGCACAGACTAAAAGCTACAGAAGACATGAGAAGAACGTGTATGCACATTTACTCAGGATGAAAAGATGATTTTGTAGTACTAAGCCATAGTTCTTCCTAAACGAATGAAGTACATTTCTAGTCTTGCCTGTATTATGAAAATATCCAGGATTAATACAGACTCATATGAAACTAAGGAGAAATGCACAATGGGGTTAACTAACATGTGGCATCCTGCACCCCATGAAATTTAAGTTAAAATTATTTATGTAAGGTACTGCAGTACGAGTCCTTAAGGATGAAGATCTATTTATGCAGGTAACTAGTGTAAGACTGACACAGCAATATAAACTTTCTGCTCTGCTCTCACTGGGCTGACTTAAAGACAGTCCAAATTCTGTGGCAACGTTAATCCTTCTCTTTGGCAGATTCCCAAATTCCTTTACAGTTTCAATGCAGAGGGCTCCTCTTCAACAGGGTTAATTATTAAATAAGATTTCTTATTCACAGTACAGAACATAAGGAATTACAATTTTCAATAAGGGTTATAAAGGGACAAGAACGTAAATGTTCCCATTGTACTCTTACATCTCAAAACTATGTGGTTATTAATATAAATTTAAGCTTTTAAATAAAAATACAGTCGCATATCACAAGGGATTAAAAACCCTTCCCCAGTTTCAGAATCAGGATGGCATGTAGAGGCATCATCAACAAATGCTGCATACAAAACAGCAGATCCTGGTCAAAATCCATCTCCATACTGAAACATTTAATTATCTTCAATTTATTTTTTTTTTTACCCTTCTACCAAAGGCACTCTCCCCCTCCAAAATACAGTTTTATTTGTGACAGTAAACATACACAATGTTCTTATCAGTTAAAAACCTACTGTAACTTAGAAGTGTTATTCTTCATGCTCTTGCACATGCAGCAGAAAATGAATGCCACAACTGGGTCACACCAAGTAAAAATAATTTTGGAAAAATATTTTTCATTGCAAAACATGTCAGTCTGTAAACAACAGGGTACAACTTCGTTTCTCTGTTAGGTCTTATTCTCACTGCAGAGGCAGTGAGAATTAGTAGATGACAGGGAAAGAGGATAACGTGTAAATCCTATGCCTGACAGCTTGACTTTAAAGGTGAAGAATACAGAATCACAGAATTATTTAGGCTGGGAGAGACCTCAGGAAGTTACAGTCTAATATCCTTCTCAGAGCAGAGTAAACATTGGATTCAGACCACACAAAACATGTTTAAACCAAAATGCACTTTCCCCTCTTAAAGCACTTGAATTGGGTATATAGTTAATGTGCCCCCAGTAAACTGAACTCTTTTTCACTACGTGCATACTGAACGAGAAAAACTGAGCAACTGAGCAGCTGAACAGACATACAGTGTATGTGTCTAACCACTTCTTGTAGTCATGTACACTTAACAAACCCAATCTCTTCATATTAGACCGTGCCTATTTTATGGGAAAGAGTTTTATACAAGTGTATAGTTCTTGTAAGCACAAGCTGCATAAGTCACTGTGCAAAACTCCTGAACTGTGAACAATTATATATTTTCATGTAGTACTGTGGCAAAACCATATAATCATCAGAAGCAAGAAACAAGTGCAACAATTCATACATCACTTCTTCATTTTTAATTTAGTAATTATTGAATGGTTCCAGAGCAGGCACTACATTACTTTAAACACAATCAAGTATCTTTGAAATAATGTTGAAAAATAACCTCTTTACCTCAGTATACACATGCGCATATACACACACATACACAAATTAATTTAGAAAATCTGTACATATATATTTTTCAGGAAGCAACTTGAAGAACCGCACCACAAATACTTAGTTTCTGTACTCTGACACACCAGAAATTTTAATCCAATTTTCTGAAAGTAGGACACAAAATGCCATGCGGTGCTACTTAGTAGAAAATGAACTGGTAAATAAATTTATCTATTTAGTGCTAAAAGAAAACACAGAACTCCTTAAATAAAACAAATGCAAATTTATCAGAAATATTTATTGTCCTTGAGCTAGGCAGGGCCCAGTATTTGTGTTTGCTTAAACATATCCCCTTGGTAGATAAAAGTGAGGAAGTTTGTGACTATGAAAATCCAGGACACTTAATTTCCTATTACCAGCTGCAAAGATCATTCAAGAAAGGAGTATCCTTGTTGAATCTGAGTCTGAAAGTCCATCTTCTTGGTTAGTTGCCTCATAATCACCCGCATTATCAGCTAACTCAATGTCTTGATCATCATTACTCTCTGCGCTGTAATCAACTTCTTCAAGAAAGCGAGGCTCGTCTTCATCCAAAACGTATGTAGTGGGGCTATAACAAACAAGAAGTTGCATGAATCACATCTAAAGTTTTACTTGGAACAATACATTCAGACTATGTCTCATCCCTATCCTGACATACAATCACCCAGAAATTACCTCAGGAAAGGGGCAGTTTACCTGAAATAGCATCGATTTTTTAATTGCACATAAAAAATCAGGGAGCCAAAACTACATTTGTAAGACCCTGAATAATTAGTCAGTCATACACAACACATTACCCAAATGTGCCATGACAAGTTAGCTACACGTTATAGACCTACACTAATGGCCTGTTAGAACTTAATATAATTATAGCAGTATCAGAAGTTGTTGCAGAAGGATACAACTACATAAAGAAATAGCAGTTACTATAAGGTATAAACAAACTAAAAAAACAGGATTCTAAAAATTCAATTGGGGAACCTTTGTATTTTATTAAAACACACTTCTACTGAAAAGTATTGTGAGCAATTACACTGTATGTAACAGAGACGACAAAACAAGGCATCATATTTACGCCTACAACTAAGATTAAATTCGTATCTGAATCACTTGACTCATGTCAGGTCCTCACACACTTGCATGCAGTTGAAACTCAAAATTTCTAAGTTAAGCCTTGCAACTCAGAGGCTGTGGATTTAAGGAACTGAGCCGCTGCCCACATAATGGTCTCTCCTTTTCTCTCACCTTCCTAGGATAGAGAAAAACGAGTGTTTTCCAGACCCAGTTTTACCAACCTCCCTTGGGATATAAAAACCTATCTGCTTAAAAGCATTAAGTATCCCTAAATACTTCGTAAGTGATTTTATATTCAGATGAAGTCCTAAGAGGGTTTTGTAATGCGTTTTACCTAATAATGAAATCATACAGAACTCATACAGAAACAGTGTGAATGTTCTTATTGATAGAGATCACAGAGTACTTGTAGAAATGCTTGCATATTAATTTTGATGAATTTGTCTTAGGGCACACAACAGCCTAGCTTGGCTGTGGCTTTATAATTAAAAGGATTAATCACTGCTTCTTTCTAAAGGTCTTTTAGGAGCTTAAGTGGACCACCTGAAATCTGCAATGTAATCTCTCATCATAATAATAAATAAATATCACAGTGTTCTTCCTCTGCCTGAAGGTTCAATGACATGCTACACTGTAATGTTTTGTGCTGCTGACAGTTAATTCAAATATTGGGATAAGAACAAATGAGAAGAATTTTTAGTCCTAGCTTAAAAAAAAAAAAGAAGACCTAAAATAGTAAGAAAATAAATTATAAAAAAATCAATTCAGTCACGGTCTCTGGATTTACCTTTGAAGTAATATGTATCATGGTTCACTAAACAAACTCTTACTTGCTAAGACATGCAATGCTCCACAAAACTACTTTTAAAGGTTGTTTAAGCTGTAACTAGGGCAAAAATCCACTACGTTGGTTAATGAACTGGGTGTTTAAAACAGAATTGTTTCCATTTAGGAGAGACAAAGAGTGAGGAAAATAACCTGCATCTTTGCTAAGATGCCTTTCTAATTTTACAGGTGAGGAACCCAACATAGTGTAAGGATACATGCTCTGCATGAAGAACCTGGAATAGAACCAGCCACGGAATACAATTTTTCCGTACTTTCATCCAGTGATGCCTTCCGCCCTAGAAAGTTAATACCTACCAACACTGCTTCTAAGGAAAAAAAAGTAGAGGGGAGCAAAAAGCTTAGCTGTTTCATCTATTTAAAGAATACAATGAAAGAAACTTCACCAAATGTATCACATTCCAACAAGTGCACTGGCTTTTTGCGATTTCTGCTTCAAATCACTTAACACAGGCATTGACTTGTTAGCTTTTGTATGCAAGGAATCCACGCTGCAATTGCAGGATAGACTGTGTAATTCAATTCACAGGAAATGGTGCCACTAAATCTGAATGTTGGCCCAATATTAACTAATAATTCTGAGTACCAAAACAGAAAACTACAAGGACCTATGCCAATGTTTATTAACCACTGATAACGGGATGGTAACGCATTATAGTAGGCACTTAGAAAAATTCATATTAGTGAGGTATAATACAGAATAGTAAAGCTCTTTAAAAATTCTATCCACTTTTTTAATAAGCGTCATTATTTGGAAATTAACCTCACATAGTCGATCCAGTTAAAAAAGCAACAAGCAAACCCTATTTTAAGGAAAAAACATTGAAGCAGACACACAGGCAAACCACGTAGTTCCCTTATGTCACTTCACAGAATATGTCCCGTTTCATATTGTCTTGAAAAACACACAGGTGTATGTGTGGGTTTTGTACTTTTTTGTATTTGTATAAATTTCTTCACATAGTTACTCATGTGTCAGCATGCAGGCATGCCTCTAACTTCTAGAAATTCAGCACTGAGCCCAGTCTTGAAGTCAGTGTGTATGATGCAACACATTTTAGACATTTGCTCTGGCATGCGTACATCCAAAACTCTCATCCGAAACTGAAGGGTACTTTTACTGACATTACCCATTCAATAAAATAAAAATCAAAATTATAAATTACTTTCTCTATTTGAGAGAAGTACCATTAGAATAGATGAACAGATCTTATCCTCAAAGCTACACAAACCTTTAACATCAAAATTGGCTCTGATATCTGCCTCATAATAATCTTAGCTTTTTACTACCATCCAGGACAATGCACCATGACCTCTCAATCATTTGTTACTGAAAATAATTTTTTTTTTCGCTTTATTTTTTCACTTTCCCTTTCTTGAGTCTTTATTCCTTACAAAATGTTATCTGAGTACTTTCTACATTCAAATGATAAGCCTGTGTCACAAACCACTCATGTATTTGCTCTCCCATGGCACGTTTTTGTCTGCTGTAGCAAATGTTAACCTTGGATATTTAACTTTCCAGCAATCTTTATTCTAAAGGTTAGCATGAATCTGCAAAGTGTAATTATTACTCCACTGTTTTACTGAGGCTGGGTCAAAAAACGTAGAAACCAAAACACCTGAAAAAATTTCATGCTGTTTAATCGAATTCTTTATTTGCCTCCCTGCCGCTTCCCACTCTCGGCATATCTTGTGACAATATATTTTTAGCTGCCGTCATGCTGATTCTATGGGTTTTAATTTCCTAACTTTTCCCTTGGGCTGTTTCTAATTAACTTGCTCAATAATCCCTGTTCCTCTACCCCTACACCTCCCACCTTTCCTTTTAAAAGGAAACCATTATTTTTTTCAGGTTTGCAGAGGTTGTTTATCACACAACTACAGTTCTGTAATGTAAGGGATGCCATAATCCATGCATTTGCTTTGAAGTTACAGCAGTTAAAAGAGAATATTATATGAAAACCTGAAGTTTTGAAGGTTTACTTTAAAAAAAAATGTATGGGTAAAAAGATGAACTCCTAAATACCTGATTGATATATCTGATACAATTCTATGGCCTTCATGAATATGAAGAACTTTAAGGATACCCCTTTCATTTAAAAAGAGTATTTCTGCATCACCTACCATACACCAAATTTAGGAATGAATACAATTTATTTCTAAAACACATTTAAATTATTTTTTTAATGAAAATACCTCACTATGGTTTTTTTAAATCTATTTTAATACTGCAAATATATTAGAAGAGATAACATAGTATATTTTTCAAACTAAAATTTTATTTGACCCTAAAATGATATACTTCGATTTTTCATTATGTGTCAATCACAGAAGAATTAATCCACAAACCAGACACGAACCATAACCAATTTCAACCCCATGGAGATCAGCAGTTTTCTGAGACTACAGGGGAAGTGTATACATTTTAAAACTTTGGAAGAAAAAATTAAGAAATATTCCCTGCCAAGCTATAGAGAATTGCAGCTACTTGGGGAGCTGGGAAAGGAAGGAGAGAAAAATCTGAAGAACTAATGATTCCTTTTAAAACTGCATTACCAGGGGAAGAAAAATTTTAGACGAGGAAGAGTCAGGAAGTATCATAAAGGAATAATTTCTCCATACTTTTCATTTCCCATTAGGGTCTATATTCTCTTCTAAGGATCAACAATGCTGCTACAGTAGGCAGTGTCACACATGCAGCTACATGTGCTATCCCTCTCGGGAGCTCTTCACCTATGTGTTTTTCCCAAATAGTAAGGGTATTTCCTCAAGGGATTTTCCAAAGCTAAAAAGCAGAATGTGTCCAACTCTTTTCTAAGCTATAAGAAGCCGGATATCCAAATCCCATTTAAGTCTTGCTTTTAAATATCCCCACTTTCAGAATGTCCTGCTTTGAGGTAAAACAAAATCAGCTTTCTGGTGACATGATCGTCATGCCAGGAGCTTGATACGGTTTTGTGTGATTGTATATATTTCATTATTTCCTTTTATTATTTTATTAATAAGTTCGTTAGTTTAGTCTCTTTTCTAAACTCTTAAGTCTTTTCTCTCTTTCTCTTCCCCCGTCAGGGAGAGGTAGGGGAGAGCATCTGCTCTTCATTTCAGTGGCCAGTCCAGCCCAAACCATGCCATAGAGCTACAAAATTTCACTCCACAGCCTATTAAAAACTAATCTCAACACTTTCTTTGTGCTGTCACCCTGAAATACATTTTGTGAAACTCAAAATTGGATTAAATTAGTTGGATGCAACAATCATTGAATGTAGCCCAGATTAATACTTGGATCATACTACCAAGAGTGGAAGAAAAACTTGAAAAATAGCATTTTTTTTTCCTTATTTCCTCCCCATGCCAGATTACTAGTTTCCTTATTTTGCCCTTGAGAAGACAAATAGTACTTTGATGCTACAGTCTAAACAGAACTAAAAGCAATCACTTTCACTTAGGCCAGAGGAAGGTATTGACGCATAGGCACTGCCACCAGGCCCACCAGTGAAATTCTGGGTCTCATCTTAGGTAGCTTTTCCTTCCAACATTCTGAAAGGGAGAGACAGGACAAAAGTTGCAGCATAAGATGCATTCTTTTTAACTAAGTTGTACTCCTAATGAACTGGAAGGAAGGCCAAGAAAAGCTCAAACACTGCA